AACCTCCAAACAGTTTTCCATAGTGGTTGTACTAGTTTGCATTCCCACCAGCAGTGCAGGAGAGTTCCTTTTTCTCCACATCCTTGCCAACATTTGTTGTTGCTAGACAAAATTTTTAAAAATGATATAATAGTTTATTTTTACATCATTTGTGCATTTTTTCATCTCAGTTGTAATCCCCGTGGGCTTCCCATCACCAAATCACCCATGTGCCATCACCATAACAAATACAAAAATTTTAATGCAGGAAAACACTTCTCCAAAGGGCAATTAGTTGTCCAATATAAATGGGGTATAAAAAGCAAGAGGCAAGAACTGTAGTCAGTGATATAGCTAATTGAGGGGCCTTGCATATCATAGTAAAGACTAGATTTTGTTAGCAAGGTGATACAAATTTTAAAATACTCTGGCTGCTATGTTGGAAAGATTGAAGGAGATTCAAGAGTAAAACATGAAAACTTTGAAAGCTTCTATAGTATTCTAGGTGAGAAATGATTTTTTTTTAAAAACAAAACAATTTATTTATTTATGCACACAAGGTACAAGACAGAAGTTGGGGGCAAAGGTGAGAGGATTCACTAGAGATAAAGTGGGGAACAGAACAGGCAGGTCTACAGAAATACACTGCTGAGGGGAGCAATGGGCAAGTGGTCTGCTGCACCATGTGAGTTAGTTAGCTCCCTAGCCAGCCACTGAACTCATCCTGTATTGGCCAGCGATAGCTTCATAGAGCTGAGACTTAATGTCTGCATCGAGAGGAAGACCCCAGAAATGATGATAGTTTTTTAACTTGGAGATAGAGGAGATAAGTGTTTAGATTCAGGATATATTTTGAAGGTAAGTTTATTGGATTTACAATGAATTGGATCATAGAAGTGAGGGGAAAAATTGTACTCTGCAAGATGGAAAACACTAGAGAAAAAGTTGAAGAGTTTTGTTATGAATTTTAAGTTTCAGATGGTCATTGCCATCAATTGTAATATTGCAGCAAAATGACAGCTCTGATATTTCAATATTTATTATATTTTGTTGCAGGAAAACACACATATGTTGCAAAAAGAGTGATAAAAATATATAACTCATAGAAAACTAACATAGGAATGGATTATGAGATGCATTGACCTTCCATTACCAGGTAAAAGGTAAATACATTACATATACTTTGGACTAGAGATCTACTGAAAGATTCAAGATACTTTTATTACATTACTCAGTGAACATGCGGTTTCATTAATGTTTTTATATAGCAATAGTTTTGACTAGCTTAAAAAAATGGATGTAACTGTTTTTTTTTTTTTAATTATATTTCCTTTTCTGGCTACTGCTTTGCACCTAAATACATAATTTTTTGGGAAGTTCATACATATTTTTGACCTTTGTTCTAAAATCTTGGAAAGGGTTTTTACTAAAGTTTAATGACTAAAGTGAAAAACACCTTTATCCTTTGTGAAAACAATGGGAGTTTAAAGATGTTAACTAAATAGCAAGAGTATTTAGTTTTAATGCCTAAAGGATGTATCAGCATCCTTCCTAAATCTAACATCCAATAGTAACGTTGTCATATGGGGACTGTAGGATGTGGAATATTGTACACAAGGAGAGCTTCAATTCCGGTTGTATATGTTACCAGCTGCTGGTAACTATCTTTGGATTTGTCAATTTTGTTTTTCCCTTCCTCTCACCTTTTTATTTTTTTAAATTTCAATGTCTTAAACTGAAGAGTGGTGGGTGGAGGTCTAATATACTATTTTATCTCCCTCACTGGGTTGTTGGTTGATTGGCAAAATCAAAATGTATATAAAAGTACTTTGTGAGTCGGCCATTTTACATAAGTTTTGGGAGAGTGAAGGTTTGAAATAACTATTACTTGGACCTATCTCAGGAATACTTCCAATTTTTACCACATTTGAAAGTCATTTTGTTATCAGTTAGGTTGTTTAATGTTCTGTTACCTTCCGTGATGTAAACCAAATAATCAGATGTTGATTCCAACTACTTTTTCAGTCATCTATTATTTTTTAACTATTTAGCAGATTTGCACTCAGAGTATTGTGGAGGCTCTCAACTCGCACTCGAAGCATTCTTGCACAAGGAAGATATAGGTATAAATGAACGCTGAGTTCTGATAGGATCTGTAATAATTAAGGCTTTCAGAAGACCACCCACCTGGCTCCACACTGAAACCAGATTTACAAGGGCTTTTTTTTTCTGATCACTTACTGACTTCTCTAGCTATCTTTCTCCAAATTACTCTATCTCAGGCGCCTGCCCAGATCTACTAACTGTTCAATGAAATCTCCTCTTTGGACTTTTCCACCTGCTGTTGCCTTTACCTTGGCGTTCTTCCTTTGTAAAAGCAACTTTTTCTTCAAGTTCTAACTTAGAATTAATTCATCTCATGAAAGCCTTCCGAGATTCTCTCATACCTCTCACGTGCTCTTACAACTCCCGGTCATTTGATCACACTGTATTTAAATTGTCGTCAACAGACTGTGAACTCCGGTCAGGGTAGGTAGGGTCTGTGTCTACCTGATCACCTCTGCATCCCCAGCTTCTAATTTGCTCTTAACACACTGTGGTATTTCAATCATTCTTGATTGAATAATTAGCGTGGTGCAGAGTTTTAGTAAACAGATAATGCTCGCCTAGCTACTAGGCTTGGTTTTCCGATATTCCACTAGGACCGAACGTTCAGGATTGACACGTTTTCCACCAGCGAGGCGGACTGTTTCTCTAACCCAGGCCTGGACAGGCAGGAATCTCTATGTCTGAATGATACGACTTCTCAGCAGAGCCACAGCAGACTTCACTGGAGTCGATGAGCCTGGGTTTGCATAGCAGACACACGAGCAATGCCGCACCCTCTGGGAACTGTGTGGGAAAGAGGTCCTTGAGGGACGACCAGGACCCCAGGACAGACGCTTAACTCGCGACGTCTCGGCCACGGCAGCGGGGTCCACACACCTACTCAAGCGCGCCAAGCCGTTAGTCCCACCCTCAGCCCGTTCAGCTCCACCCACTCGGCGCGCCCGGCTTCCTCAAACCCAGCCGCCAGGGTGCGCGGCGCATTCCTTAGCCCCGCCTCGGGACGAGCGAGCACTCCCCCTCCCAGCTCTGCCTAAGCCGTTCCGTTAGCAGTAGGAGGAAAACCGTCCTTCGGGTCCCCGCCTCTCCACTCTCAACGCTTTACTCCCTACTCCCCCTGCGACCACTACACAGCTACGGAAGCTCCTAACGTACAAACATCCCTCAGGCCCCGGCGTATCCTGATCGGTTGTGTCCTTGTTACTCCAACCCGTCTTAAGGCCCTGTGTGCAATTTTTGAAAGGAATTCCAGCTCACGAGTTTCTTCCGGCGGCTGGAACGCCAACGCTCTTCACGGAAGTAAAAGTTGTTGTTGCTGGTTTTTTTTTTTTTTTTTTCTTCCCGATAGCTGCAGCCACCCGCATTCCTTCCCTCCCACCTCGCGGAATTGTGGCGGGAGGGGGAGGAGGAAGTCAAAGCGCCTGCGCGGAGCGGCCGCTTTCCATCCGGGTCCCTGTCCGTGCGGTGCAGCAGGTCGGTAGGCGGGAAATGGCGACTGGCTGAAGGAGCTGGTTGTGTTGCTGCTGCGGGCTAAGCGGGAAAGACACCACACATTGCGCAGTCCGGACCATCGCCGGAGCCTGAGGACACTTTCTCTGTCGTCACAGTTAGGTAATCCCCCTCGTCCAGACGCTGCCGCTGCTCCTAACCTTAGTCGTCCTCCTCTTCCAGGGCCGTCTGCCGGGATCTCCTCCCCTTCTCAACCGGGTCCTCCAGCGGCTCTGGCGCCGAGGTAGGCATGCACTGTTGGCGCCTTGGACGTCCGCTCTGTGTAGCCTCTCTTTTTTTGGACTTTCCCCTAAGAATAGAAGGGGAGCTCACTTCCCGCCTGCTTCAGCTCTTAGGCTGCGGCCTGTGTTGTGATTTCTGGGGTTAGATTTCACTTTGCTACCCACCCCCACCCCGATCTCACGTTCCTGGTCCCCAACCCTGTGGTCTCTCCCGGTAATTGGGTTAGATCAGCTTTTCCAATCTTGGTTCACCTAATGTTTTCGATATTTCATTCCTTATAGTAGGTGTTTTTTTAGGGGGCGTTGCTCTTAATTTTTATAAACATGTTTTGAGGATCTTGGAGAAGAAATTTAACTTAACTTCTGTTTATCCCCTGTACTGTCAAAATATTGAGTTGACGTTGTTACTTTTTCAAATCAAGAGTAGTAGTAAAGAACAGTCATGTGGAAGGCCCCTGATCTTTGGTTTCTTTAGTGGTCAATTAAGGGTGAATATTATGACCCGTAGTATTCTGCGCTTTCTTTGGGTATTTAATGCCTGTATGGATGTTTACTTTTGCATTCTTGACTAGAATTCCGTGGTAAATAATTGCATAAGTAAATCGTGTTTATTTACTTTTTACCCTAGTGGTGGCTGCATGTGTGAATGATGTTAAGCACTTTAGAGTACCTTAGGGATGCCTAAGGAGATAGTGCTCGTAAACTGCCCTAAGATCCTGAAATGAAATGTACTTAGTAGATGTTCCTCCAAGGCAGGGATCTTTCTAATGCTAATAAACAGTGCCAAGATGATTTGTATACATGGGTTATACAAATTAGTGTCTTGAATAACAGACTTATCTTTGTAATTTTCAGATTGTAGATTTCTTTGTATACGCTCTCCCCATTCCTTGCCAAGTTTGAAATTTTCGTCTGTCCTCCAGCTGTTGTTATTATAAAAACAAGGAAATGGCAAGTTAAAGCTAGTTTTAGTGGTCCTCCATCCCGTCCCCGTAATACCCCCCACTCCTTACCCCCTTCATTGCAGACTGGTTGTCTGTAAGGAGAAGCCTTAGCTCTTGGTGTTTTTGAGAATTTATTTTAAGTCTTGCTGGATTTGGGACCTTAGAATTTTTTTAATAGTTTTTAAAAATTTGGTTGGTAATGCTTATCATTTGATGCATATGATTGAAGTTTTCACTTCTTTAGGTAGTTCAGAAGATTTCTGTTGTTAACATGAGGTGAAGATTGAATTTCAATAATAAACAGGAACTCACAAACATTATTATAGTCATCATTTGATAGGTTGCGCCCCCCCCTCCCCCAAGGTCATAAAGAATGTCAAAGCAAAATGTAGTTCTTAGATTGAACAGTCTTTTAGGATAGAGTTGATTTTCGTCATTCTAGGAGCAGAAGAATAGGAGGTAGGACGTGGATATGAGTGCACAGTGGGTATTTGCTAAGTTAATGTATTTTAAAAGTCGGACCAAATATGTGATTTAAAATAAAATTACTGGTCTAAAGTAGATTTTGTTTTTATCACCTTTTGGGGTAACTTAGAAAGTATTATTTTCAATAAAATTTGATTTGTAGTACACACTATATTATATAAACTTATCTTTTAGAATTTTCCCAATTGTTTTAATTAAATCAGTGACTTTTAATACTCTTCTTAGTCTAGAGGTTGAAAAGATGTATATAAAAGCTCTTTACTGATATATACCTCAATGTTTGTAGACTTGTAGCTGTGTAGAAATTTCTTTCTTTGGTAAATATTTACTTATTATGCATACAGAACTGGGGTACATGCCAGAGGTGCTGGGGCAGTGAGAGGCTTTACCAAAGACTGAGTGGGGAGCAGAACAGGCAGATAAACGAAGTACACTAAGGGGGCTTAGTGGGCGGGTCCGGAGAGGTCTGCCGTGCCACGTGGATCACTTACGGGGCGGGGATTGAACTCATACTGAAGTGGCTGCAGCTTGTTTGGAGTGCTGTGTTCTAACGCCCTGCGCCACCAGGGAGGGCCCTGTGTAGAAATTTCTTCTAGTAATGTATAGGAAAACAAATAAGATCTTTTCTACATGGTATCCCTTTGGTATTTCATTTAAGCTATTAATGTTATTTTATCATTCTTAAGAAATTAAGAATTGGTGAAGTTTTATCTTACCCAAATTCATGTAGTTAATACTGTGTTTGATTTCTGGTCAAGAGGTTTCTTCTCAAGATTATCATATAACAAAGATTATCATATAACAGAATCCATCCAAATGTTCTTGGACCTGTTTTTTCAGAAAGGATGTACTTATAGACTCTAGAATTGAAACTATAGAATTATTTGCAGATTGGATAAAATGGCATTAGATTATCTCAGTTGCAGGAGATTGTGCTTTGGATTAGTGCATTAAAGATTAAAGTATTTGTCAATTTGAAATAAATAATACTTAGTTATATTTATAATTTACCAAGTTACTGTGAGAACATAAAAGAAAGACAAAGTCTGCTTAAGTGCTGAGAGGACCTATACATGATGTGAAAAAGTAACTCTTTTGAAAAGATCAAAAAATTACTTGACCCTTTTAACTGAATTCACTATATGAGGTCATTGCTCTAATTGGAAGATCAGAAAATTTAAGAGATATGGACATATAAAGCCATACAGTTGAAGTTTTTGTTTCCGCTTGATATTTGCCATGAGGCACATCTAAGCCAGACATACATTTCACTACTGATTGTGTCTCTACATTAATTTTTAATTTAAACTATTATAATTGGATTTACATAGCATATGGTATTGAGAATTGCCAGTGCCAAACTTTGTCTCTTGTGTATTAATGGAGTTCCTTCTAAAATCCTCTGTTTAAAATAACATTCTCTGGGAGAGAAACTTTTACTATTATCTTTTATCAACACAGATATATTTATCAAATAAACTTGCTGATACCACAAGACAGGTGATGGTTCAGAGGCAGTGTGAACATGGAAGCATGTTTTTTTTGCACTGTGACTAGGGAAGTTGCCGTATATTGTTTTGGGGGGAAAGACATGGTGGAGATATTTGTGAGAAGCTTCACCTCTTGCGGTCCTTTGGAAATCGTGTAGAATCTGACAGTAATGAAGGGTGAGATTAAGTGTGGTTCTAGGAAGAATTGTAGGAATTTAGTAACAAATAAGGTTATAGATTTGGCCACCCTTTTGTTTGTTTACCTTTTTTGCAGCCTCTCGAGTTAGTTGAGCATTTTTAGAAAAGTGTGAATGGAAACACTAAAATGCCATTTAAAAATCTGTTGTGAAATATTTATATAAAAAGTCTAACTTTTAATATATGGTCACAATAACCCCATATTTTATAATATTCACAGGCTCTCCTGTGTTAATTTAGAGAGAGATTGTAGAAAAGAAAGTAGGTGCAGATTAAACATGAATTATCAGAAGTGCTTTAACTTGTTCTAAGAATCAGGTTTTCATGATTATAATAACTTTAGAGCAAGGAAGTGCATTTACTAATTTGAGTTAACCATAAAACTACTGTAAAAAGACACTTGAATACTTCAAAAATAATAGTAGTAGTAACAATATATAGTTTAGGAAGAATGGTTTCATTGGGCTAAATATGTCTGCAATTCTGAGAATAGTTTCTAGGAATACATAGTTTTCTTTCTTTGGACTAACTACTTCTATACTGAGAAATTGGAAACTATAAAAGCAGAGACACTGCTAGAAGTATTTAAGGAAAAGTTAGAACCCTTTAGCTGAATAAACTGATCATTTAAGTTTCTCATGTAGCCAGTTAAAGTAACCTTAAAGTAGGAATTTAAAGTATGTGTCTTTTTAATACCCAAAAGGGCAGGTTTATTATATAAAAAAAGGAAAGGAGAAGATGGCTGCATAGATGCAGGCAGGCATCTGCCAAAACTGTTTTATTAAGAATATATTGTTAAGAAAAATATCCAGAGCACATAGGTGTCCTTTTAGTTGAGAAACATTATTTTTATTACTTGTTTTAGTAATAATTGCTTTCTTCCTGATACTCCTCATATATGATTATCCTTTTGAGTTGAAGATGATTAGCCTCTCACTAACCTTACAGGTAATCCTGTATTATTTTGTTAAATAAAGGTAACTATGTAATCATTTAGTTTTTCTGATGTATTGACAGTTATAGATACATATATATGCACACATCATCACATTTCAAATAATTGTGCATTTTCTCCTCATTAGGAATAATATTTTAGTTCAGTAGTAGCAAATAAAAGAGAACTTCTTTTATAGAATTACAATTATGTGTGCTCTGACTAGTAATTTAAATAAAAATCAATCTTTAGAAACTTTCTTGTCTTCAGTTTATCCTAACCATATGATTAATTTTTCCTGGTGGTAATAATAATAATAAAAGGAAATTATTTCTATAGGCAGTGCAAATTTATTTTGGGCAGAGGACTTCATGTTTTATCTATATTTCATAATTTAAAGATTTTTAGTTGACAACTTTCTTTTTTGTCAACATCCCAAATTAATGTATGCTGAGGGTTTCAAATTTCTATGTTGTCCTGAGACTAACGTTACTAAAAAGCTTTCTTTAAATAGAATTTTTTGATAAGAGTATAAATAAGCATTTATATCTCCCCTTTTGCCCAGTTTTGGTGTGGACTGCTTAAGTAAAAAGCATTCTTAAGAAAATTCTGCCTAAAGTAAGTTCACTTTTTAATCTTCAGATTTACTTTGTTAGGGCCTCCGATGGTGCAGGGGTTAAAGACAGTGCTCTCATGCTATCCCCAGCCATTGCAGCACAAGTTTGACCCCCTGCCTGCTAGGGAGCTAACCCTCATGGTGTAGCAGACCTCTCCTGTCTAGCCTGCTATTTCCCTCAGCAGTAAATCTGCCTGTTCTGCTCCCCATTCTCTGGTGAATCCACTCACCACCCCTGCCTCTGGCCTACACCCCAATTTTTGTATCCATAAATTATTTAAATAAATTTAAAAAATGCTTTGTTAATGTGCCAGTTAAGTACATTGTAACTTAT